TTCTGGGGGTTTTGTTTTTTAGGGGTTGGTGGAATCTCAAAGCAGAAGTGACCTGTCTCTATTCGTCTGCTAGGCTCCACTGATGGTCTCCTTGTGTGGCACTCAAGTAGCCCAGAAATGAGCTCAAACTGGAATGAAAGAAAAGTGCTTTTCAGCCCAGCATTTGCCTTTTTAAAAATGACAAAGGCATTGTGGATTGCCATCTGCATCAGATACATGCCCACTTTTTTATACCATGCTCTGGTCTTTTGCACGATCAAATACGGCTGCATCAGTTGATCGGACAGGTCAACGCCCCCCATATTCCGATTATATTGCCGTATGCAGACTGGCACTCGTTTACATTCCTCTCTGCCACGAACTGCGACCCTCCGAGTGTTTTCACCATGGATGGTGGTTAAGATGAAAACATCCTTTTTATCCCTGTACTTGAGTGCCAGCAGTTCATTCTGGCAGAGAGCTGATGTTTCCCCCCCTTTTCATTTTTTTCTTCGCTAGAGCCTTTGGGAAACCTGTGCGACTCTTCCTGATAGTGCCACAGGCCACGGTCTCGAAGCAATACAACATTTTTAACAGAGGGATGCTATTATAAAAGTGATCAATGTATAAATGATAACCTTTATTAAGTAGTGGCATTATTAAGTCCTAGACAATTTTCCCACTTGTCCCTACTATATATGGGCAACCTGGGGGATCAAGGTGGCTATCCCTTCCTTCGTATACATGGAAGGTGTATACGTAGCCACTGCCACTTTCACACAGTTTATAAAATTTGATCCCATATCGGGATCTTTTGGATGGGATATATTGTCTAAACCCCAGTCTTCCCTTAAACTTCATGAGGGACTCATCAATGGAAATGTTTTTATTGGGGGTATATAAAGTGGCAAATTTACTGTTAAAGTGGGCAATTAAAGGGCGTATTTTATAAAGAAGATCACTGCGGATCACCTTTTGGGGGGGACTAGTTATTGTCACTAAAGGGCATAAATCGCAGTATGTCTTCATAGCTTTCCCTCGTCATTGTCTCTGCAAAAATGGGGGTATTACAAATAGAATGTTTAGACCAATACATCCTAATTGTGGGCTATTTAATTAGCCCCATTAACATGGTCAGTGCCCAGAATTGTTTCAATTCTGGCACACTGGTTGGGTTCCATCTCTCTTTCCTGGAGATAAGAGAGTCTGGATTGCGTGCCAGATATTGCTCTGCATAGAGATTAGTCTGGGTGACTATCTCCCCAAAAATCTCATCCCCCAAGAACAGCTGCATAACATCCAGCGCACTATAGTCAGACAGGTCAACCTGTATGCCAGGATTGGCTGTAAACACTGGGATGTCTGGGGAAATTTTTTTAGGGGGTACCCAGTCATCTGCGCCATGTTCAGCATTAGGGGAATCGTCGATTTCACCTGATGGTCCTGCAGTATCTGGCACATAGTCCATGTCCCCTGCGTCCCCTGCGTCACTCCCCACGTCACTCTCTGAGGCAGTGTCAGTCGCCTCTGAGTCGGCCGCTAACAGGTCATAAGCCTCCTCTGCGCTTTCTAAACATTGTTAACACAGCTAACAAAACTAACAAAATAAGTAAAAAACTTTTTTTTATTCCCTAATTCCCACTAAATTCCACCCACCAAAATAACTAAATCACAAATTAATAAAATCAAATAATAAAATTTAACCCCTTAGGGTTCCAAAACCCCCCATAAAATTTAACCCTTGAAAGTAAAAAAAATAGATCACAGTAAAGTACTGTGACCTGTATATTGATCACTGCTGCTTATTTTTTAATAAAGGGGAAAGGGACAAGGAACTTTTTATGTAACTTAACTATTCTTCTGGGACACAATGTAGCACCGATCTGTCTCTCTCCACTTCACAAACCCACAAGAGGTGGAGGGAGGCGGATCAGGTATCCCAGCAACATTGTGACCGATGAGACTGGCTGTCAGAGCGATCACATGGGCTGGGATATCGGAATTTGCTGCTGCTGGTCTGCCTGTGACTTGGAGGCACCCAGCATCAGCGTTAACCCCGCGAGCGACGGCACCGCGGCGAGCGGGGGTTAATTTTAACATGTGACGGACGAGGTCCGTCACTCGTCATTAACGCTTTCCCCTGAGTGACGGACATTGTCAGTCACTCGTCTTTAAGGGGGTTAATAAATGTACCATAACAAGACCACTAACCTTTAGCACTGTAGATAATGTATGACGCATTTCCCATGATGCCGTACAAGGTTACAAAGGTTAGCAATTATATCTCTATGGAGTTTATCTATTAAACGTGAGCAAAGGTTAAATGCCAATAGTTCACAATTACTCAACACGGCCAACGTATGTTTTGGAAGAATGAAGCAAATTGGTCTTCATTGTATCACACTAATCTAATCTGCTATCACGAATTAATCTACCATATCATTATTTGTGTGAATAATTTTGCCAGACATTTTGTTTGTTTTGTAATGAATGAAGATAGATTTTATGGAAGTGACATTTTGACGTGGATTCTCCCAAAAATGATTTACTGTGAAGTTGCTTTTAGCTGGCAAATGTTCATCCCATTCGCTCTCCAGATTTCCAAAAAGTTTAATACATTTGAAAACTGTTATATTATGGTACTTAGTCACATATTTCCTGATTCACTACAATTATCTGGAACTGAAGAAGATGACAGCACTGTGATATACACTGTGCTTTGGATAAACCTGCCAGACATTAGAAGCTAATACCCAACATGGCAGTTTTGGCAAAATGCAGTTGTTATTTCAGGATAATTAAACATTTGTTAAACTCAGTAATTAATGGGAAAAAAAACATGATCATACAGTGCGGTAAATTGGGTAACATCACACCATGCATTAAAAACCGGAATGCATTTTGTGATACCATGCAATGTGGGTGTTTGTCCCATGGTGGTCAACATTGTTTTGTAACTATTTTCAACTGTCACCATTTACTCAATGTTTATTAGGGTAAAATAATGCCATGTTGGGGTTCTCCCCCTAGACTCTTAGTCTTGGGGTTTATTTTTATTTATTTATCCAAAATCTGTATATAATTACAAACAGCAGTACAGTAATCAAATGTCTGAAAAGTAATGGGTGGAATAAAGCATACAGATTCCAAGGGGGAAGGTGATGTAACTTCAAGAAAAAAGAAATATGGTAAGAGAGAAAGAAAGGAGATAGCTAGAAGGGAAAGAATTGGGAGAAGGTGGGGGAGATAGAAGCACGGCACTGCCACTAGGGAAGAAGGAAAGACAATCAACGCAATCCTCTAAGATGCGTCCGGACCAGTACATTCTTCCCTCTTCCCATAAATACTTTTTTTTGTGAAATTAAGGGATCTCGTTCCTGACATTAGTTTATCCTTAAGGAAGTTATCTTTTATTTTATAAAGGACAATTGCTGGCAGGGAAGCTCTATCTTTCAAACAAGTCTGGGAGGGATTTCTTCGAGCAGCTTGCATGATCCTACTGAAGAGCTTCCGCTCATGGGAGTTAAAACCATCAAGGAGTATTGAAAGCAGAAACACCCAGGGATTTGGAGGGGGGGGGGGTGTCTGGGAAAGATGTATGAGACCAGATTACTGATCTTCTCCCAAAACGGCCAAAACTTAGGAGATGTCCACCACATGTGGTGGAAGAGACCTCTGTGCCCATATAGTCTCCAACATACACCAGATCCAGTTTTCCCCAAGTGCAATAATTTAACTGGTGTAGTGTGCCAGATAAAAAGTATCTCAAAGGATTGCTCCTGCAAGGTAATGCAAATGGAGGACTTGGAGTTAGCCTCCCAAGACTCTTCCCATTCCCCACCCTCCAATGTTTCTCCTAGTTCATGCTCCCATGGATCTATGTATTTGAGCTTACCCCCATTCATCAGAGTTTGTATATAGATAATTATATAACTGGGAGATCTATCTTGTTAATGCATAGTGTTTCAAATAATGTAGGGGTGTGTGAGCTGCCTGTGTTGTGTTGCCCCCAGGAAGCGAAATCCCATATTTTGTAGATATCTAAAAACGTCCCCCAGGGTTAATCTGCAATATTTTTGCAATCCAGAAAAGGTGATACAAGTATTATTATGATAAAGGACAAATCTTTGCAAGACTGCATTCTCAACACCTCGGAATTTCCCCGTGTCATACCTGGAGGAAAAGCACTGTATTTCACAAATGGTGTCATGGGTGAAGGGGAGGCATCCAAAGAATATGTAAATACCAAAAGAAGTGAAACATTATTTAAATATATTATATATCCCTTATTATGGGTAATTTGAGTATACAACTCGATATCTCAAACTGTTCAAGGAGAAAACTTCTCATAGTGTATATTATGTTTTACAATTTTAGGTGTACACATATATGCTGGTTATAAAAAAGAAAGAGAATGATAGGCGCTCACTATAGTGATCAGGCAGCAGTATACAAAACAAAGATTCCCCAATCTTGTGAGTGAGTAGTAGAGAAAACAGAAGGCGTATACCGCGCCTAATAATATTTATGTACAAGAAGATACATACATATATCCTTGAATATTCCGATCGTTTATAACCTCAAAAAGATTAAAATACAGAATAATAGTGCAATACAGTAAATTAAATATTTGGAATAAAATATTAAAATGTGAGCAATTATAGCTGTGTGCAATCCACTCACATTTGGATGAGCTATAACAGAGCTCTACTGTGAAGCGCCTGGACGGTACAATCCCCGTCTAAGGATTCGTAGTAATTGCCACGGATGTTCTCAAAGTGCAGTGTGCATAATAGACATAAAAAGAGATAGCAGCAATATGGTGAAGTAAGTACTGATGGTGTATTCAATAATAAAAGTAATGTACTTACAATTTCCAGAGCATATAACTTGCTCTAGTATAAACAGCCTAGGTGGTATAATCCCCACCAAGGATATGCAGGATCCAGGAAGTAAAGAAATAATATATATAAAAAAGTAACTTTAACAAAGTATACTTTAATATAATAAAATAAAACAATATTGGATAAAAAATATATGTATAAAAGTCCCACTTAACGCGTTTCGCCTAAACAGGCTTCTTCAGAAGTGTGGTGAAAAGTCCAAAAGTCCGTTTTTATATCCTGGTTAATGAAGTGATAGTTTCCTGCTGGGTTACTTCCTGATTCTGAGCTCCGGTTGACACGCACGCGTCATACCGGAAGTGACGCGATACGCGCGTCACACCGGAAATGGCGTGCCGCTCGCACCAAACTGGAATCTATTTGCGGCACAGAAAATAAAGAAAATAACAATGTTATAGCTCATTGGGGCGCACGCATCTCCAATATGTGGAGTGCGTAGCGTTCCGAGCGCTGCTCACTCTGAATAGCTCACAGAGTGAAATGTGGGCATGTGACATCATATAGACAGCCCGGCGGCCATCTTAAAAATGGGCAATCACAGACATAGTAAATACTTAGATGCATTCTATATGTAAAAAAGAAGGGGTTTCTAAAAAGCATATACTTCCATTACAAAGATGATACTAATATAAAAATTAATTAATAACATTAAAAAGAAAAAGGTGTTCATACAATTATAACACATAAGGGGTCTGCAATATAAATGTAAATCTCAAGCATCAAAATTTAAAATGATACTAACATAAGATCAATTAAAACAAATATATATATAAAACATATCTAGTATATGAAATATGTTAGAGGTATATAATATGCTAAACATAAGCATAAATAAGATTATACAAAAAAAGGCATAAAAAACATAAAAGGAACATAAAAATAACAATAACATAGAAAAGGCATGCCGTTCTTATATTGCTCACACTCACTTTTTAGTGAGCCAGCAATATTACTCTGTTTGAGAGTAGTGGATTGCCAGTATCTCAATCAACCAAAAATGTGTAGAACTGATCAGTATTCTCATCTGTGTCTTCTGAATTTTCCCTTACTATTCCAACGTAGGTCATGAGGTAAGACACAGGCAGTAGTTGGTTAAAATGAAGTATAAAAAAAAATATATATAAAATCTTAAGACTATATTTAAAATCATTCAACACAAGCACACATTTTGACCTGAGTCTTCATCCAGGTGAAAATGAATGAATGAAACAAATCCCCTTAAATGCCCTCCCAAAAGATATTTAAGGGTAAGAGGGGATTTAAGGCAATTTTAAGATCAAAATTCTGGAAATTATATTCATTTCCCTTGTATTTAAAGAAATCATCAATAAAATGTAGGCAGTCAGATGCCCCAATGAGTGCAGGCTTTGCAGTTGTGAGGTATCGTGGGTAATTGATTGGTATTTCTATACACATGCAAGCACGCGCACACACAAACACACACTGTATGTAGTGGAAACAGTTATCCTAATACTACATAAACACACATTGGTTTTTTTTTTGTACAAACTGTTTATACCTATGTTTTCTAAAAGATAATTTTATTTTACTTCTTTTGGATCAACAGCAAAAAACAAATGTGAGGTAGGCTGAACTTGATGGACGCAAGTCTCTTTTCAGCTATGTAACTTTGTAAACTGTGTAACAATGTAATTACAAGCAATAAATACTTTAAATATTATACATTTACAAACTTACCCAAATTACAAACAATGTATTAACGTATGTACAAAATACATAAATAGCCATTTCTGTTCAGTAATTATTTCTGAACACTCAACCATAAATAACCAATATTATTGAGATGTTAATGGAACATCATATATATTAAACATAGACACTTGGTTAACAAGCTATAATAACAATAGCTGCACAGAGCAAGTTAAATGTTTAATCTAATGTTATTACGAACAAATGAACTCAGTCCTGGAATGCTGCAACTCAATATTTTGGCATCTAAATATTCACTGTAACTGCTGGGACCACTGGAAGCTTGTTTAACACTGTGGATGGTGGCCTACACATGGTTAGACTCTGGACTACTCATACTTAATGCATGGGTTGTACTTGATAAAGTGAAATTTGTGTATTAGCAATGCTGCTGCAGAGGGTAAGGGCTATGGGTTATAGAAAAAGTCCTGTTTTTTTTGTCAAACCACTACAAAATAGCACCCCTCCCTGCCCCCTTTTACCAATTTTGATAGATTATACTACATTTCACCGTCTTTCCCTGAAAATAAGACAGGGTCTTATATTCATTTTCCCCTGAAAAAATCCACTAGGGCTTATTTTTTGGGGATGCCTTATTTCGAGGCAAGCGTGTGCTAGAAGGAGGGTTTACATTCAGGGGAATTCCCCGAACATAGACCAGTTTACTAGTGCATGGAATCCTGCGAATCTATGGGCGAGGAAACTTACCCGGACATAGATTAGCTTACTAGCGCATAGAATCATGTGAATCTGTGTTCAGGGAAACTTCCCCGAACATAGGTTAGCAAACTTGTGAATAGCGACTACGGCTTATTTTCAGGGTAGAGCTTATTTTAGGAGCGCCCCCTCTCCCCCCTCCGCCTCTCCCAAATAAGCTAGGGCTTGTTTTCAGGAGATGTGAAGCAACATTGCAGCAGTTCAGATAGTGCTTACTCAATTTCTAGAAAATTTACCACAGGATTGCTCATTATACATAACCACCATACGTTGCCTTAGTATATTTGCTACCATCACAAATAATTCAGCCATTTCTTGACACGAGATAAAATTTTGACATGATGTGTTTTTTCATCCATTTCTAAAATGTTTGAAAAAATTGTGCAATATGTTTTTTTCTCAGCTGCTTTTTGTACTTCTCCAACATTTTAAAGGGGTTCTTCCTTAATATTTGTTATCAAATTCAAAGTCAGGTTTTTCATTTCTTTCTCTGAGTTCAAAGGCAAGTAACCAAAGGCCTTCATTGCCCCCTTGCAATATTTTTCAATATTTTTTACCATCTTAAAATCCAGTTCACCCCTCCACTTCTGAATGACTTTAGCAGCCTCCCTGGAGAATGACAAAAAATCATTAAGTTGTTTTATATCATGATGGGTCACGTTATATATCCATTTCTCCAGATCTGATGTCAAATGAAGACCTGCATACTTTAAAAGTCTTTTGGCATTTGCCAAAGGTTCCATTGCAAGATCTTCATGGCGTATGAGCATATAACGCCCCCGACTGAACATTCCAGATGACTTGGCTTCCTTGTAGATGGCAACCTGGCTTTTGCAGATCTTCATCATGACTTGATCCTGGCTGAGTTTCTTTCCATCCATTCCATCTTTAATGACAATATTGTCATCTATACTGAGATAATATTTTCCTTTTTTCCTTGATGCAGCCACGGCTCTTGGGTCTCTCACCAGATGTAGGATCTTCAAGTTCAATGTAGGGTCCTGGAGGAGAGGCAGAAGGACAGAAAAATCGAAGACCCTCACAGTTTTTATCACCACATGACTGTAAGACCTACATGACTCTTCCATCTTGTCTAGGGAAGCATTCCCACAACGATAATAGCACGTTGTTTGGTCATAGCTCTCTAAATGAATTAAAGATGAGCAAGCGGGAGGGGAGCAGAGTGCTCGACTCTCAGAAAAGAAGTCTATGTGCGAGATACGCTGCACCCTACTGGGGAGATATGGGTGGAGAGGAGATACATTACAGTTAAAGAGTGATCGCAGCAGGTCCCTGACAGTATACTGAAGTAGCTCAGCCGACTCTTGCTTTAATCTCATCCAGATGGGATGCCCAGGTTCATATAAATAAAAGACATCATTGTGCTGATTGAAGATCTGTCCTAAGAATGAAGAACCAGAACGCCAGGAAGAGACAATAAGGAGGTGTATTTTTTCCCTCTTAGAAGTAGGGGAATGTGAGATGGAGATGGAGTGATCATTTAAAGAAAGAAACAGAAAGAAAAATAACATAATAAAATTTAACAGGAATAAGAGTATAATTCCCCGACGGAAAGTCATGGTGAGGAGGAAATTTAAGGAAAACATAATCTGAGGAAGGCCTCAGAACCAGTAGGGGAAAATATGTTAAAAAGAACAAAAATGATGGAGAAAAAGAATGGAAAAACTAGATGAAAAAAATTAATTAACAAAAAAAAAACAAGAATAAAGGTTGGCAAAGCAGTGCAAGAGATTGGCAACAAAGATTTTGTAAGAAATTTAATTGAAACAGAGAGGAAAATGGACAAAGAGGAGAAAAAAAAGCAGAAAACAAAGAGAGAAACAAATTAATACATAACTTCAGACCAGCTGGCACTGCAGATAAATATCAACTAAATTATCTACGAATTGCTCAAAATCTGGTTAAGCATTAGGGCAAGTGTAGTTCACAATCATGTGCAGTATCGAGGTTAGATAATAATGACATATGTACACATTTCATTTAAAAAACAGCAAAACATTGGACATTTTTAAATGTGTTGATGCTGTGAAAACAATTACTTAAAGAGACAGTAATGCACATTTATATATCCTGATGATATAAAGATTGAGTTTATAGAAATTTACATTAGGGTTTAACATCAATATTATGATCAGTGAAGCTTATAAAACCACACACTTTAAGGCTGTATTGAAATGTATGTTAATTTTCCTTTAAATCCAAAACAGTTGATTTGGAAAGAGATCAAATGCAGTCCAAACTTTCATTTCAGCTCCCTACACATCACAGTTTAGTGAATAAAGCCCATTGCTAGGATTTCAACGCTAGTATAGGAGTACCAGACGTTTGGTCTGCTCCTGTAAAAACAGATTTAGGGGAGTTTCAGCACGTGAGTTAATTTAAGGGCAGCTGTAACCTTGAGACATTTTTTTTTAATATAATAATCATATTATCAAGTTTTGAAAGGAAATAGATAGTTTTTTTAAATTAAGCAACAAATGAGAAAAACTCATCTCTGCTTTTAGTAAATGACTGGATCCTAGAGCCATATACGTACACCCTGGGACAGACTGCATTTGAAAACAGACAATTAGTTGCGATGGACTCTGTGGAGTCCGCATATAATGTCGGATTCCAAACTCTGTCTGACCCAAGGTGTGTTCATATGGCTGTAGAATTCTGTCATATACTAAAAGGTGGGGATGATATTTTCTAATTTTTAAAAAAAAATTTTTTACATTTAAATCGCTTTCCTTTTCAAAACTTGATAAAAGGATTAATATATATATTTTAAATAGTATTACGGTGACAGTTGTTATTTAACCTATACGTTTTAGTTTCATCACAGCATTTTATTCCAAAAGGATTTAAAACGAGATTGTACTTGGTCAAAACTGCTAATACCTAGACGAATCCACTTACCTGATTTACTGCAGTGTATTTAAATATTACACGTGTCTCCTTATTTGTTAAGGAAAGATGAGCCGTTCTTAAATGTTGTATCTACCGAGAGAGACACAGAGTTAATTAATCCTTCTATGTAGATATATCTTCATGTGTTTTCCTTGTAGAATGTTCTTGTCACACAGATATCGCAGGTAAGATCACACTTTGCTGATAGCTGAAAAGCTGTTCATCTCATTAAACCTTTTGAAAGTCAGAGAGGGAGGGAGGGCCAGGGAGAGTAGAATTATGACTACAAGCAAGAATGTGTTCTATATTCTGCCTCTCAGAGTTAATAGGGCAAGTAAATTCATCCTTTGAATTATTAATACAGATATCAGTCTCAGATTATAAACTGGATATTTATAGTTGTCTTTCTGGTGTTTCCTAAGTTGTTTGATTTATAAATAGGTGGCCGCTTTTACTGAATTTCAATAAAATTCCAACTTTTTTTTTTTTTTTTTAAATGTAGTAAAAGCAAGAACAACGTTTCAGTACCCAATTGGGACTTTCATCAGGATCAGTTCATGAGTTGGATACAGATATTTATCCTGATGAATTGATCCTGGCAAACAATGGATTTATTCCTGATGAAAGTTTGGGTTGCAAACTGAAACCTTGATCTCTTAACTGTGGACATTAAAAGTTAAGTTTTACTTTAATATATGGAGTCCTGGGAGTGCTATCTTCACACTACCTGTATATATATATATATAGTGATCCTTGTCTGCAGTTAGCATGGTCCCTTTGGGTATAAAGATGCACAGTCTTTAAAAGTAACTTAATTCCAGGCACTTTATTTGTAAATCCACACAGGAGACAGGAGTAAAGGAAAAAAAAACCAATAATGTAACACAAATCCCTATAAACAAAAACCTAGCTTGTCTGAGCACTAACTAACATCAGATTCCCTATCTCTCAGGGGTTAAACTATAACAAAATAATACTGGTTTCACCAACCTAGTGTCTCTCAGCACTCCAGTGTTTAGACAGCCTGCTGCTTCCAGCCCTTCAAGAGAGAAAACAAACATTCTCCCCTTACCTGCCTAGCAGGTATTGGGTTATTCCCACTACTGCAGCTGATTACCTGCAGCTGAGCAGTGGGTTGGAGACAGTCCAAAAACCCTGGCCTGGATCTATGTCTCCCAAGAAAACCGCTAAACTGCAGAGTGGAGCACTGGCCCACCCTGCTCTCCAAATGCTCCACCCCAGGGGCCCATAACTAAATATTAATTTCGGTTCTATACACACAGAAAAACACACTCCACCTGGGGTTAAAAATCATATGCCTCTCTGAACAATTCAGTCGAAATATAAACTCCCTCAAAGACCACCCCATTCACCTTATCACAATATATATAATATTATTAACTAATTTTAAATTTTTATTTTTGTTGGGGCTAAGGTTGCCAAATCCATTCAATTTGGCTGTTGAGCAATACATGGATAAATTACAGGAAATACTGGAAAATTAATTAGTTAGGTGAGGCAGTTCCTTTGGGATTCATCCTAAATCAAATAAATTAATTTCTTCATGCAGCATGTTAATTGTTTAGATTGCCAAAGCTACAAGGAAATGAAGATGATGGCGGATGAGGTGTAGCTTTTGCCCAGGTAGACGTTCTACTTAACAAATCAGCCTTGTCAAGGTTGATATATAAGAAGATAATATCTCGTCACCTGCTCACGGCAGCTAACTCACTTATCCTGGTTCGATGGTGGCAAACAGAACCACAAATGTTTAAAGCCTGGGTTTTAAAGAGTTGAGGTGATCAGGCAGGTGGAGGCAGAAGTAGTGGCAGTGAAAGGAAGACTGGAGAAACATGAGGAGACCTGGAGGACGTGTACGTACTACCATTGCATAAGAGAAATAGACAGACCTCCCATTCTTACCTTAGATGAATGGCCAGACCCCTATTGCTGTCCTAGATGAATGGTGAAACCCACATTGTTACGTTATATCAGAAGTAGGCAACCTTCGGCACTACTAATGTTGTGGACTATATCTCCTTTGATGTTTTGCAGCATTACGGCTGTAAGAGCATTATGGGGGATGTAGTCCCCAACATCAGGAGTGCCGAAGGTTGCCTACCCCTGCCTTAGATGAATGGCGTGAACCCTATTTTTAGCTGAGGTAAAAAAAAAAATACTTTCCAAATATTTTAGGTTCTCTGTCTGTACGCTAAGGTTCCTGTTTCCCTAGTTCATCAGAACAATCTCTTTGTTTTTTCTCTGACGTGCTTGAAGCAATGTTTCTAAACACCAGTAAAGAGACCGTGTTGATAAAACCACACTAAGTTGATCTGTAAATTACCTGTTATTAATCAATAAATGGACATCGCTCACTGATACAAACAGAGCTTGTACAAGAAGGAGAGCGATAAATGTAAATGATCAAAAACTCTAAATGTCTAAAACTCAGGAGAACATTTTACATACAATTCATTATTTTTTCCATTTTTCATTTTGCGCGAGGAATAAGGAATTAGCATCTTAGATAAGAGGATCAATATGTTAATTGTAGAATAAGATATTTGCTATAAACCCCAGAACATTAATACCGATGAGGAAGATCAGTTCTCACAAACTGAAAAAGAAACAGTCAAGTAAGACTAAAATCACTGGAAATTTGAATTGTCGAGACATGACGGCCTGGGAATGGACTGGATATAAGGAAAATGTTAATAACAATAAGTAAGAATTGGCTTGCTTAACTTGTTACAGGAATATGTCACTAAACAGGCCCTGTATTGCCTATTTGATTAATAAGTTATTCATTCTGTTATGCTAGTTCTTGCATTTCCAGCCAACTTTAGAGTTTCCAGCACGTTTATGCAGAATTAAACGCTACTTATATTTAGACGTTGTAAATTATGGCACCTCCTATTAAGTAAATTAGCTACTTGTGTTCCTATTTGGACACTTTGTAGCTCCCAACTTATAAACTATTACTGTATCTTAACCGTTCTGTGTTAAGTACTAAACGTTACTAAGTATCACATCGTTTATTGGACCTGTTTAGAGACATATTCCTGTAACAAGTTTAGCAAGCTGATTCTTACTTATTTGTTGCCAATTTGGGCACCCTTTAATAAGTTAGTTAGCTATACAATGCCTTTTGGGACACTTTGTTGCCTTAAGCATATAGGCTTCTACTGTGTCCGAATCGGCACGATTTTAGGTAGCTTTACATGTGTCAGACAACATTAAAGGACCACTCTAGGCACCCAGACCACTTCAGTTTAATGAAGTGGTCTGGGTGCCAGGTCCTTCTAGGGTTAACCCATTTTTTCATAAACATAGCAGTTTCAGAGAAACTGCTATGTTTATGAATGGGTTAAGCCTTCCCCCAAAGCCTCTAGTGGCTGTCTCATTGACAGCCACTAGAGGCGCTTGCGTGCTTCTCACTGTGATTTTTACAGTGAGAGCACGCAAGCGTCCATAGGAAAGCATTGTAAATGCTTTCCTATGCGACGGGCTGAATGCGCGCGCAGCTCTTGCCGCGCGTGCGCATTCAGCCCAGGAGGAGGATCGGAGGAGGAGAGAAGGAAGAGAGCTCTCCGCCCAGCGCTGGAAAAAGGTAAGTTTTTAACCCTTTCCTCCTTCCAGAGCCTGGCGGGAGGGGGTCCCTGAGGGTGGGGGCACCCTCAGGGCACTATAGTGCCAGGAAAACGAGTATGTTTTCCTGGCACTATAGTGGTCCTTTAAGCAAGCCATCTACACATCTAACAGACCCTTACACAGGCAGCAGTACTTTATTCAATTGTTAGTTCCAACACCGATCACGGCTTCTGATTTTTTGCCTGTCCTTTCCAATTAGCTTTGTTCCTCGTTTAATCCACACCACAATACTGGAGATTGCCACCAATAGCTCTGCTCCAGACTGTTTGTGTGGACCTACGTGATTCACTTTTTGTGTCATCTTCCACTCTCCTTATCCCTTATACATATGCCCTTTGCATAAACTACCGTTATTGCTTCTGTCTGAGTCAGACAGTTAGACAAAGGGGCCGTGTGTCTATAGTTCTCTTTTTTGGTATATACAATAAATTCTAATTATAGGGACTGATTCCTCTCTTATTTCTGTTTGTTTTGTTTTTTTCAGCCTAATGATGGCTTGCTTCACTGATATTGAGAGTTGACAGCAACAGATTCCAAATGCAAATAGCACACTTGAAATGAACTCTGGACCTTTTATCTGCTCCTTCTAAATGGGATAATGAGGGAATAACACTCACCTGGCCACGGAACAGCTGAGCAGCCAATTGTCCCATTACTTTTGGTCCCTTGAAAAGTAGGAGGCAAATATACAAAATGTTGTAATTCTTACACCGTTCACTTGATTTGGATGTAAATACTCTCAAATTAAAGCTGAAAGTCTGCAATTAAAGCACATCTTGTTCATTTCATTTCAAATCCATTGTGGTGGTTTATAGAGCCAAAAAGATTAGAATTGGGTCGATGTTCCAATATTTATGGACCTGACTGTATCTTTGCCAGAAGCTCAAGGAAGGTGAAGGGTCAATGTAGGACCCGCCTAGGGGGGTCTACCTTGACATTGGCAGGCGGGCATTCCCTCTCATGGCCATTGGAGTAACTAAATGACCTCCATTTGTTAAATTATACATAGGGATTTAGGAGAGAGCGCAGGTAACTTTTTTCCTTTGGGTTTTACTGTCTGTATTGTGGCTGATGTGTACTGTGGTTGTTGCTGCCACCCAGGAGTGATGGGAGTGAGCACAGGACTTATCTTTTAGTATTTGTATTCACTTTTTGTATCATACAGCTTTGTTACAATGCTGTTGCCCATCCCATGTGTTCCCTATTAAGGGTTACTAAGCATGTAGGGATGTATGAACAAAGTACCCCTCTCTGTCTCATTAGAGATATATTTGCCAGAAGCTCAAGGAAGCAAGGTGAAAGGTCAGTATAGGACCCGCCTAAGGGGGGTCTGCCTTGACGTTGGCAGGTGGGCATTCCTTCCAATGGCCATTGGGGTAACTAAATAACCTCCATTTGTTTAAATATACATAAGGATTTAGGAGAGAGCGCAGGTAACTCTTTTTATTTTGTTTTTACTGCTAAATTTTATGCATTAAGACTTTATAGGTCAATAGACGAACCAGCTGCGGTTACTACACACATACACACACAAAAAAAACACACACAGACACGTGCACACACTGACACATACACACACACTCAGATACACATACACACACAGTAGAGACAAAAATTAATTGGGGCACATCTGAAATATGCATTTCGCAAGGAATGTTGCTGCCGTAGTGACCAACATTCATACATAATAGAGATTTTGAAACAGTGCCCAGCGCGTTTTGTCACATTATTTTGCATCATATATTCACAATGCTCTTACAACAGATTATTATAATACATGTAGAGGAGCGGCAATATTAAATCCCACGATCTCGGCTGGTTCAGAAGGTAATCCACAGTCAAGCGCTGAAAAACAAGGCAATATCCCAAATCCCCCAGTAACCGGACGTAAACACAGTTCTGAGAGTCAACTGAAGGCTTTATTCACAGGCTCCACAATTTATACAAGTCCCCATGCAAGGGATTTCCTGAGTCCTATCCCAGGGGTATTCCCAGAGTGGACTATGTGGGGAACTTACATTAGAGAGCCTTTCCCCCATCAGGCACTGCTGCACGAGAGGGATCCTCCCACTGTAAAATACTGTTAAGTGGATTATCCCTCCGTGCAGCAGAACCGGCAATTTACTTTAAAATGCACCGTTTTTCGAATGTTAGGTCTATTTGCACGAATGGACGTTCGGTAGATAGCTGGGGTCTGAACGCATCATTCGTGAGATTACCGCTCAGATCCCAGCTAAAACAACCGAACGCCGCACGAAAAACATATTTATTAAAAGATTGCTGTATAAGGAATAAAATACCGAACGGCCCGGAACTCCCGAACGGCCTGGCAGTCCAGCGGTGTTCGCGCCGTCGAGCAGCCATTTTTAGTACCAAACACCGCTGGGGAACAAAGGATCCAACATGGCCGACCGCCGCATGGTCGGTAGCCGAACGACGGCCACCTTGGAGAGCCTCTAATTACCGATTGCAACACATCTCTCAATGTGTGGGCTGTTACAGGGTGGTTATTTCGGTTCACGAACGTCCTGCAAAGGTGCCGTTCGTGAAACGAAAGGGAATCAGCTATCTGCTTTCGGCAGATAGCCAATGCAGGCAATACAAAGCTATACAATCGTATTACATTATACCCAGAAACACACATAACGCGAAAATCATACAGGCAACCCTTAAAGCGATAGTACGTAAATAATGTCCAAGTGGCTAGATTTGCCACAATACACTTTAGCTTATTTACCACTAGCACTATTTAATTTGTCTCCCACGTTGGAATTAGTGTAGGACCCACCGATATTGGGGTACTGTGAAGTAGTGGTGGGCTTAACACAATATGGCCATATGGTGGAAATAAGTTCCCATTTTTTTTGCTGAGATAGGCGATTTTAAGTTCCCTTATAGAATTTAAAAATGGATTTTTATGTATGCGCTGCTCCTTAATCTGTATTAAATACATACCTTTACAGATGCACAGACACATACAATCTGACATACATAAACACATACATTATTATTTATATAATTATTATTTTTCCTCCTGTTAGCATACCTTTTGTGTCCAGGATGGTGGTTTGCTTGGAGCCTTGCTTTTGAGGGCTGAGGCTGATGGGAGTGAGTGCATGGGTTTGCAGCAGTTCACTCCTGTGTTTCTTTCCTCACTGCTGCCTGTGCGCTACTGCTTCCCTCCTCCTTCATCCCTCCCACGTGGGCTCTGTATAGATTATAGCTGGGAGGAAGTGATCTGCTATCGGCTGACACTACAGGGGTCCAGTCATGCTCTTAAAGGGCTGCGGCGCCGACTGGGCCCCTGTTCAGCATTAATACCCATTGTGTGGCCTTAAGTGCATTGGCCACCTGAAGGGCCTCCGAAAGGGTGTGGGCCCCGAGGTAGCCGAGTTGTTTATGAATATATAACAAAAGGTGCATGCAGTTCACCCCTAAAGCACTTCAGCAAGCTCAAGTGCTTTAGGTTTCTGGAGTGTCTCTTTAAGAATAAACAAAATAATGACTTTATTTTAAGCAGATGTGCAACAACATACAGTCAGCATTTGAGTTCCATTTCCAGTCTTTTAAAGGATCACTATAGTGCCAGGAAAACATGCTCGTTTTCCTGGCTCTATAGGGTCCTTGGATCCCCCTCACCCTCAGGGCCCTCCTCCCGCCGGGTTCTAGGATGAGGATGGGGTTAATCCCTTATCTTTTTTCCAGCGCTGGGCTCCCTCGGCGCTGGGGATTCTTTTCCCGTCAACGGCTGAATGCGCATGCGTGCGCATTTAGCCAGCCAGTCTCATGGGAAAGCATTCTCAATGCTTTCCTATGGACGCTGGCGTCTTCTCACTGTGAAAATCACAGTAAGAAATGCGGAAGCGCCTCTAGCGGCTGTCAATGAAACAGCCACTAGAGGCTGGATTAACCCATTTGTAAACATAGTAGTTTCTCTGAAACTGCTATGTTTACAGCAGGCAGGGTTATTCATAGATGGACCTGGCACCCAGACCACCTCATTAAGCTGAAGTGGTCTGGGTGCCTACAGTGGTCCTTTAAGAGGTGTCAAGGTATTCTGT